CTCCATTAAAATTCCAGCAAGAGCCAACAAGCATATTAAGTCCGGTGGGCTCTTTTCAACATAAATGACCCTTGTTGTTCTCCCTCGTCTGTCTGTGGAGCCACCCGTCCTCCTCCTGCTGGTCCTCTGGCCCTTCTCCTCTCACCATTCAGATTTCCCGGGCTTCCACTAAAGCCTCTTCTCTCGCCACTCCTCTCTTCCCAGTCAATCTCGGGTACCCTCTTCGCCTCAACTGCCATCAACACTGATGACCTTCAAGTCTGAATCTCCATCCCGACCCATCTGTTCATGAGATGCTGCCACCTGGGTCTCAGAACATCAGCCAGGCCTAGAATCAGATCCAGGGTCTTCCCTGTTTTTCTGGAAGTTGACTTGACACTGCATCTTGCTCATTCCCATTACCCAAAAGATCCTTAAGTCCTCTGAAACGTATCTCTTAAGGTACACAACTCAAGGTCCTCGATCCAGGCACACAACTCCACCATCGTCCAGGCCACCAGTAAAGCAGAGACTCCTGTCCCAGTGCCCAAACTGGTCTCTCTCCTATTCCCTGAGCTCCCAAGTCATGTTCCAGAGGACACAATGGAACGATGGCCATCTTGATGAAATTTTTTAAATCAGGAGGACCCTGGCCCGCAGTCTGAATTTCCCCTGAGAATCCCAAATCGAGCTCCAGTTTGTCAGGACTGGGGTTAAATCTTTCTGAAATGATTAAGGCCAAGGGGAACACAGCTCACCCTCAAACTACTCCAGGCACAGAGTCATCCGCCTCCCCACATGGTGAGGGGTCTGAACCATCCAGTATGTGCTGCTCTGTCCAGCTGAAAGGAATGTCCTCCAAGGAATGTCCCCCAGGACCCTCCACCATCTTGCACCCCACTCTTGGCCCCTGGAGGATGAGGAGACCTCCTGCAATTTCCCACTCCAGCACAGCACTCCGCAGACACATGCCTCGCAGGCTGCAGAAGAGCTGAGGCAGACACACTGCGCTCCAGTGGGTGGCCATGTCTTCATGTCAGCTTGAAAGATCGTTGCCAGGGAAATATCTATGTCTCGGCAGAGAGAGCTTCCACCCTGCGGAGTCCAGCTGTGCTCAGACGAGAATCCTGAAACCCAGATGTTGGTCCAAACGCCCTGCCTCAGCAGCTGGCTCTGGAACTATCCACTGTGGGTGCAAACCCTTACTGCCACCTGCTCTGCCTGCCCACAGCCCTGCCTCCCTGGGATCCTGGACCCCGAGAACCAAGAAGGAAATTGGGGAAACCCGATGAGATGCTACCTGAACCCAATCCAAGGTTCAGGTAAATGGTATCCACCCCCAATTACAGGGCTTTCCAAGTGGTGCTAGTGGTAAAGAACCCATCTGCCAATGCAGGAGACATAAGAGACATGGGTTCAATCCCCGTGTCGGGAAGATTCCCTGGAGGAAGGCATGGCAACCCACTCCATTATTCTTGCCTGGAGAATCCCATGGACAGAGAAGCCTGGAAGGCTACAGTCCATAGAGTCACAAAGAGTCAGACACGACTGAAGCGACTTAACGCACACACACATCCTGCTTTATACATCACCAGTGGTTAAGGAGATGGGGATGGAGTCTGACTCACTCAAATAACTTAGAATGGAGATGACCGTTTGTTTTGTGCTTTTTCCATGTCTAAATGCTATGCCAAGCATTTTCTATTTACTAACTTGTTGTTTCAACAAAAGCATACCCAACCCACCATTGAGGTTATTCCCATTTTATAGATAAGGAAACTGAGGCCCCTGGAGATCGCATAAATTTATCAAGGACACAGAGCTCATAAGTGGTACAGCAGGGACCCAAACCCAACTACCACACTCTGCAATATTTTTTGCAAGTGTAGACTTGTGCCTCTCAGCCAAGGTGACTTTGCCCACCTCTTCCTGGGTTGTCACATCTGGGGATAGGGTATCAGTGATACTGGCCTCTGTGGGTAGAGGCCAGGGATGCTGCCAAGCAGCCCAATAATACATAGCGACACCCCCCATAACAGAATAATCTGACTCCAAATGTCAACAGCACAGCACCAAAGTTGAGATACCCAGGTGCAGACCCTCACCAGAAAGAAGGGGAAAGATCTACAGTCTGGATTCACCCCTACAAGGAGCCTCATGCTGACAACAACCCCAGAGACACTTTTTTTTAGTCATGACACGCAGTATGTGGGATCCCAGTTCCCCTACCAGGGATCAAACTCAAACCCTCCGCATTAGAAAAATGAAGTCCCAACCACTGCACCACCAGGGAAGTCCCAACCCCAGGGACTTTGGAGCAAAGAGTCCATCAGGGAACTTCAGGGAATCCGATGAGTTATTACTCTTGAAAGCTCAACTCTGCCCAGCAACAACCCAGAAATCTATGCTAAGCTGCCTGATCGTGGGAAAAGCTGAACAAACACCTGGGGTTGATAAGCAATTACATAGGAAAGACTTTTCTCTCCTTCCAGGGAGAACTATAGGTCAGGCTCACCCTGGGGTCACTCTAAAGGAATCAATAGTTCAATTGTCATCACCAATAGAATGATACTTGGATATGTTCTTTCTATAAAATTCTATAAGTAATAAAAAGAGAGAGAGAGAGAGAGAGAAGGAATCAATAAAGGCTCTAGGGGGACCAGTTCTTCAATATCTCCTCAGCATCACTGGTCCTGGAGGGGACAAAAGGAGTCTGTAAAACTTCTGGTCCCTGGTGGGGGGGTCAGCCCTCACGAGTCACATACCTTCCTTCCACCACACGTGCAGCAGGACCTGGGTGCTGAGAGGCCTCCTGGGGCTCCAGTTTAGCTCCTAAAAGCATCCCCTAGCAAACCAGCAGAGGATGCAACCCCCTCCTTAAAGACAGGGGCCAAGTCCAGGAGCCCCTCTGAGCGACAGCCAGTCACATATAAACCTCAGCCATCCAGGACATCAGATACAGTGATGGGAAAGGGTATTTTATCCTCAAAAACATCTAGATACAACACGGACAGGGAGGTGTTGCCCGTGCAGCTTCTGCAGAGAAAAGCCCAAAATGATCTGCATCCAAAAATAATCTGCTATCAAAGAAAAAGGATGTTTTTGACATTTTGGCCAAGCTAATGGTCTACACAGACAAAATCTCATGAAAAGGCATTCTGGTTTTTTTTTTTTGATCCATTTGGACATGGTCTATAAGTGAAGAAATGGTTCTCTTCCTTAAAGAAATAGCTGCTGCTCCTAGCACCAGCCTGAAACTGCTTCCAGGTTCTTTAACAAGAATGTTCTTATAGACATGGAAAAGGAGAAATCTGTCTGGTGGGCATTCTGGGCAGCCTAGACTTTGGCCAACCTTTAGACTTGAAAACCAAGACCATCTTTATGAGGGGGCCACTGTGCCCAGGAGATCCGGGGATCCCATGGAACAGGGCCTGTTGACATATGCTTTGCACCACAGAGACCATTAAGGCTCAGAGAGGTTAAGCAACTTGCCCCCAGTCACTCAGCTAAGTAGAGCCATAACCAGGATCCAAACCCACACTCCTAAGCAGCCCACTGCACCTGGTCACTCCATTCTGGGGTCCTGGTTTTGGGCAAAGTTCCATGTGAAAGAGGGAGGTGATGGGGCAGGGAAGGGCTTCTGACAGTGGAAGTTTCACAGCACTGCACGGCCCCATCATCACATCTCAGACCAGGGACCTCTGCTCTCATCACGCTGCAACACATCCCTTTCCATGACGTGTCCTGGAAAACCTTCCCCAAATATCATCCTTCTGGCATCGCAGAGAGAAATTCGCCTGGTTCTGGTGTCCAGGTGGCCCACGATCTGAACTCAATCACAGCCACGGGAGGCAAGGGCTTGGGAGCAACACCTGAGCGCAGCCCCCTCCCTGAGTCCTCCAGGCTTTGACACGGCCCAGTGAAGGGGAAGCAGGCAGCTGACGCCAGCAAGGATTCGGGAGAAACAAGGGGACCTCTTCCTTGTGGGGCTCACTAGTCACCAATCAAATTTTTAAGGTGAGCTCGGCTGAGCAAATGGTTAGAAGAAACAAAAAGGTCAAACCCATTATCAATTTAAAACTCTCAAGGTGGCGGCCCTCGCCAAAAGGACAGCCATCCAGCCAGCCCTCACTTGTCCTCCAGACATCTATGACCCCCCAAATGTGAGGTCCGCCGGATCACAACTGGAAGATTCAGGAGAGGAAGCAAAAAGCAGGGGCCAGCGAGGGGGTCAAGCTGGCCATGGAACTCTGTCCCACATACTCACATAACCACGTACATATGCAACAAACCACCCCAAACGTACCCTCAGCCGGCAGGTACCAGAGCCAGGCGGCACCCCAAGGGGATGCACAGAACTTTGCTTCACTGTCCTTCTCTGGAGAGATGGGCTGAGAAGAGTGACTCCAGAGTGGGAAGCCTTCACCTGCGTCCTCTCTCAACTCTCCCTGCCCAGCCAGCCTGGAGAGCGGTGACAGGAAGATGGGGGGGGGGGGGCAGGCAGGGGGGCTTGATGAGCTGCCGCCCGTGCACGCGCTGACCGGGCATGGTTTTCAGAGCCTGTGCCCCGTACTTCCCACCCAAGCCCCTTACCAGGGGGAAGGCGACCAGCAAAAAGTCCCAGAGAGACGCCTCAAACCGCCCTGCCCAGGATGAGGCTGTGCAGAGTGCGGGCTCCTCAGAGTAAACCCCCCCACCCCCCACCGCCATCTCCTTTCCCTTCTGGGCGCCCCCAGGACACAGAGCGGCCCCTCCCTTTTCGAACAACCCCAGAGCCCACGGGTGTCCCAGCCAGCGACGAAGACGACGTGGCAGGATCGGCAAGTCGATCCTACATAAACAAGAAGGGAGTTGCCACCAACAACGGGGCATCTAGTTTCTCAGGAGGTCCCCACAAGCTACCACACCGCGCCCGCACGCAGGAGTTGCTGCCCAATTACCAACTTGCAGCTGACCGCCGACGGGGAGCAACCCTGCCCCCCAGCCCCCACCCCGTCCCTCCTGCGCCCCCGCTCACTTACGCCTCCGTCCTCGACACCTGTCTGGGTACCGGTCTCTTCCCTGCCCAGACGCGGCGCGTCTTCTCCTTCCTCCCTCGCGGCGCTTCCTCCTTCCAGCCCCAGCCTCAACCTCTTCTCCTCCGGAGGGGCGTCCTCCGCCTCCCGCCTCTGCCGGCCATCCCTGCCTCTGAGCTTGCCCGTGTCCTCGGGGCTGCTGGAAGGGCTGGCCATGGCTCCAGGGGGCTCTGCCTGCACTTGAGAGAGAGGAAGGACCCAGCAGCCTTCCGAGCCAAGCGGCCTGTCGGTGGGAGACCGGGCTTCTGAGCGCGGGCTCGGTGGGTTCGCGCGGCTGGGCTCGGAGCTGGGCTCCTCCGCGGACCACTCCTGTCTCTCTGCCGCCCCCTGCTGGCTGCTCGCGGGCACAGCGGGCACGCGTGGACGAGGCCTGCGCGGGTCTCACCTGCCCCGGGGCCAGGCCCGCTCAGAAAAATCCTGCCCACCCCCCGCCCAGTTCGCCCACACGGACGGTCTCCCTGCCCAAGGAAGGGAAGGGAGAAGGGACAAATAGACGTCCACTTCTCCAGTGCCCTGCGACGATGGACACCCTGGTCCTTGGTACTGTTCTGCATCTTGAACGTTTTGGAGGTGACTGGAAAACCGGGGCTGCTCAAAATGACAGAATTCAGCCTGGAGAACGATGCGCTTAAGGCAGAGGCACCATATTTCAAAGCTGTGCTTACTTATCAAGGGTGTTTATTGAGCATCACTATGAACCAGGCATGGATGGTGGGGGTGGGGGCAGGGGGGGAGGGATGGTTTACAGCAGTGACCATGGCAGGCATCCTCTCTGCCCTGGTGGAGCCCAGTGCAAGGGGGGTGGGGGGAGGTGGTGACTGACTGACATTGCCAAAGGACTGCAAAGAGACATGCTGAGGAGTGTGTTAGTCGCTCAGTCGTCTCCAACTCTTTGCAACCCCATGGACTATAGCCTGCCCCCCAGGTTCCTCTGTCCATGGGATTCTCCAGGCAAGAATACCAGAGTGGGTAGCCATTCCCTTCTCCAGGGGATCTTCCCGACCCAGGGATCAAACCTGGGTCTCCTGCATCGCAGGATGCTGGGGAGAGAGGAACCTAAAACAGCAACACCTCAGAAGGTCTGGGGCTGGTCAAGGGGCAGAGGAAGTGAACGCTGAATGGAGGTGAACAAGATGAGTAGTTCTCAGCCAGGTGAAGGGTGTCCAGGCAGAGCGATCAGCACATGTGAAAGCCCAGGGGCTGGGAGGGAGGCAGCAAGAAGCCTGTGGGGCCGCAGCAGGGTGGGCGAGGGGAGCACAGGGTGGTGGGTGGAGAGGTTGCCGGGGACCAGGCATGCAGGGCAGGGCTGGACAGAGGACCACTGGGGGGCTGAGCCCAGCCGCAGTGCAGATGGACAAAGGGAGGAGACCTGAAGAGACATTTTGGAGTGATGCGCTGATAAATCTGAGTGGGCCCCCGATGTTCCCTTAGCACCAGTGTGGGGCTCCCTCCTCAGCTGCGTGCTGAGTTGAGCCAGGAGGTATATTCCAGACATTTAAGTGTCATACCCAGCATCCAGAACAGGCTGAATGAGCGCCAGGCTCCGATGTGTCCTGAGCTTCCCCAACCAAGAGCTGAGACCATGTTACACTTGCTTGTTAATTTTTTCTGCCACTAAGCTCCTGCAGGCAGATGCTGCCTCTGCCTTGTTCATGATTTTATCCTTAGAAAGCCCTCACGGTGCGTAGCACACAGTAGGTGCTCAAGAAACATTTGTAAGATAAGTAAATGGATCTGCTCCCACCCAGTGGTCTCTGCATCCCGCGTGTTCCCCCTCTTGCTTCAGCTCCTTCCCCTCTCTTCCACCTCTTCCCTCTGCCCCAGCACAAGTAAAACCCTGTTATTATCCCCAATACAAAGGAGGAGACTGTGGCATAAAGAAGGCACCCTACAGTGGGAACGGCTGCCACTGAACTGCGAAACCTAGATGCAGAGAGGGGGTCCCTGCATCCCAGAATGGCAGAGGCCAAGTGGCAGCTCTCAGCCGTCAAGGCAAATGGTCGTTGGCAGAGTCAAAGCATAAGTCAGAACAGTCCGCCTCACACAGAACCGTCGCAGAAGCCAGCCGAGCATGGTGATCTTAGACGTGACACAGATCGCAGTCTACTGAATTCTTAGTTGATCCGTACAAGCAGAGGAGCTCTAGGTCAAGGGAACAAAAGCCTAACTTGAATCATAAAAACAGATAGTCATGACCTCTCAATCAATTCCCAGACTTGAGCCAGTTTACAGACTCCAGGAGGCTGGGTCCCCTTGAGGAAGGACCTTGATATACTGCCAAAAATATCTACTCTTAATCCTTCTCCCAGCCTTCCCCAAAGGGACCTATGCCTTTTATCAGAGTGACTACATGGGGGAACAAAAACAGACCTTTCCAGGATCACTGAACACAGACTCTGATCTGACATGAATTCCAGGAGACCCCATCATTGGATTGGAGTCCACGAGTCAGAGCAAGGTTTATGCAGGTCAGACGACCAGCACAATTTTAGCTCCACCATCTCACAGTGGTCACAGTGGGTCACCAAACCCATCCTGTGGTTACTAATACAGTGGCAAAGCTGGGACTCAAATCCAGGGTGTCCAGTTTAGAGGCTGTGCTCTTAATCACAAAACAGTGTGACATGTCTAGGAAGAAAGTATTGACTATAAATCAGGACTTCAGTTCCCAGGCCCCACGCCCAGCCCAAGGTCATCGTGTCAACCCTATTTTATGCAGTATTTGAACCTAAGCAGGAAAATTAGGGACAATCAAAAGGTCACAGGGCCTGACATCAAAAGAAAGTGCATGAGTTTACTAAGCCAGTGGTGTTAGATCCTCCAAGGACCACTACTCACCTCCCCGGCAGTTTGACTAGGTCTGATGGTCAAGGTGAGAGAAAGGCCAGAACTAAGGTAACGGCTTTCACCGTCTCACCTGAGAAAAGATCTGTAAATTCTTTGGGAGGCCTTTCAGATATAGACTACACCAGCAATGAAACAAGCTACAGTGACTTGGACTGCAAAGCGATAAAACCAGTCAATCCTAAAGGAAATCAATCCTGAATATTCACTGGAAGGAGTGATGCTGAAGCTGAAGCTCCAATACTTTGGCCACCAGATGCGAAGAACCAGCTCATTAGAAAAGACCTTGATGCTGGGAAAGATTGAAGGCAGGAGGAGAAGGGGACAACAGAGGATGAGATGGTTGGATGGCACTACCGACTCAGTGGACATGACCTTAAGCAAGCTCCAGAAGATGGTGAAGGACAGAGAAACCTGGCATGCTGCAGTCCATGGGGTCACAAAGAGTTGGACACAACTGAGCAACTGAACAACAACAATGAGGGAAACTATGAAAGAGGTTATGGACCATTTGAAGGAAGATACATCCTCTGCATTGGCGGGGACTTTGGAAGGCCATCCTAAGAAACACAGAAAGGTGCACCTGACTCCAAAGAGAGCTGGAAAGGCAGACTCCAACACAAAGATTCGAATGCAAGTGCTTTGTTTTGGGGGTAAGTCCAGGAAACTGGTTGAGGAAGTGGGATGGAGCAGGGAAGGCAGTTTATAAGGCGGACAAGTCACCACTGTGGGCCTAGAGCTAATCCATGGGAGAAAGTATAGAGAGTGCACCTCAGAGTCATCCCAGCGAGCGGTGTGGGAGCTGGGCACTCACTCAGTCTTGACTGACAGCTACCCCCTGGAGGGTCCTAACTCCCATGTGTTTCTGGCAATTGATGGCCACAGAGAGCCTCAGGCAAAGGCAGGCCAGCCTGTGCAGCAGTGCTGAGGGCAAGGCATGCACGCAAGGGCACCAACAATGTCCCCTGCAAAGCCCACCTCTCTCCTTTAGCAGGTTCCAGCAATGCCTGGATTCACATTCTTCCACCGTGGGGCTTAGGGAGCAGATTAGCTCAGCTGGGACTTTGGGGGCAGAGCTTGACTGGGGTTCCGGCTTCACTCTTAATCACATAACCTTAGGCAGGAAAACGGACCTCTGGGAGCTTCCATTTTCTCATCTGCAAAATGGGTGTAATAGTACCTTATGGGTTATTGTGAGAACTGAACAAATTGTGCATATAAAGCTCTTAGCCTAACATATAATAAGGGCTCAAGTAGAAAGTGTATTTATTGGGACTTCCCTGGCGGTCCAATGGGTTAAGACTCGGTACTTTCACTGCCCCGGCCTGAGTTCAATCCTTGATGGAGGAATTAAGATCCTGCAAGCTGCATGGCACAGCCGAAAAAAAAGAAAGGAAAAGGAAGGGAAAAGAAAGGAAAGGAGGAAGGAAGAGAGAAAGAACAAAGGAAAGAGAAAGAAAGAAAGGAGAAAAATTTAAGCACATTTATTAATATCATCAACTCATGTGCTTTTCTTACAGGAAAGGCAAGGCTGGCCCTGAAGCTGACAGGCCCTGAGGCCTCCAGGTGGAGAGAAGGAGGGAGGCTGAATAGCAAAGAGAGTGACAGCCGACGTCAGGAAGCCAGAGGCAAGGGCCAGGGCTCTGCGCCATCCCGCACTGCAGCCAGGTCAGCCACGAGAAAGTGCGAGTCTGACCTCTTCAGCTGGTGGTAAATCGGCACGTGAGAAACGTCCACCCCACAGCTTCCCTGCTCAGACCCCTGTCGTCAGCACCTGGCCATCTGAGAGGTGGAGGGCGGAATCCGGTGGTCAGGACCACGCTCTTCCCACTGACACCAGCTTTAGGTTGTTAGCTGAGGGCCAGGGCTCCATCAAGATGAGACAAACATGCTCCTCAAGCTCTCATCTACCCAAGCTTCCGGGGCACTGATCCTCCCATAACGATGGACCCTTGATCCAAGGCACTGCTGCCTCCTCTCCAACGAGAAATCTCAGTTGGGGGTACCAACCCCTCCAAACCCGTAACTTCTTCAGGCAACTGATCCACAAGCCGTATATCTCCTGGTGCCACCTATGCATCACCCACAGCATGTTCATTGGCTGTATGAACCCCCAAGGCCGCCCCAGTGCTAGCCATGACCACCAACATCGACCAGGACACCCAAGGTACTGAACCGAAAAGTCAGGATTTGTGCTGCTCTGCACCTCTGCTGAGAATCCCATCTTACTCCCCACCAGCGGTCACTGGGGACAGGCATCTGTCTCCTCCACACTGTACCCCAGATCACCATGCAGCTTTGCTCACAGATTCTCGGCTTCTACTTCATTTGTGCACATGTGTCCATGTGTCCTGCACTTATAATTACACAGGTACTCATAGGTCCTACCAGGGCCACCAGTGAGCTTTCCACCAGCCCAACTGTAAGGGCATAATCATGCTGGTGGTTTATTCTTAACTTTAACATTTTTGTTAAATATCACCAAGATGCAAATGACAGTCCAACAAGTCACCAGGTTCCAGGTTCAAAAGTGTCACTTTTTGCTTTTGTCTCATCTCACCTTTAATTCTGGGACGTGATTGGATGTGTTTTTCTTCTCCTCCCAAGGAACATCACAACCCAACTCTTCATCTGCTTAAACGGTTCACACACAAGATTTCAGAGGGCCTCTCCTGAGCCCCCAGCACCCAAATCCTTCCCTCCTCAGCTCTGAACCAAACTGGTGAGCAGGCATCTGCCAGGAGAGAATGCAAACACCAGACCTGACGGACATCAGCGTTTATCTAAACCATTCCTGCCAGCACTTCCTACAGGCACATGTGTATTTGTCTTGATTACATCTCCTCTTGTTCTCACTAAACGGGTACATGCCATGTCCCATTGTTTGCTGCCGTGAGGTGCTGATTGCTGCAAGAGCCTTTTAATACACACACAACACTCAGAACAGAGACGAATCCCTGCCTTCTCTCTGGCACAACTGCGCCATAAATTGCAGAGTTTAGAGAAGAGAGCTTCAGAGGCAGCGCCCACACAGCCTGTGCGAGAGAGAGAGGGAGAGAGGGAGAGAGAGAGACCGCCCTGGGAGAGGAGGGAGGCAGCCCCCTCCCCACGCCGTCATCTTGAACCCTCAGACAGGGCCACGGGGCAGAAACAGGAGTGAGCACAGTGAGTCCTGGGGCTGGCAGAGGCCCTGACCTCGGCGCTTCTGGACAGACCCAGCATCAAACCCTCTGGGCCCCTAGGTCTCGACAACCTCACATCATCATCTTGACGTTGAAGGACTCATTTCTGTGTGTCACTTTTTTTCCCCAGAAAACTCTGTGTGATGCATTGTGTGGCCGTGCATGTACCCCGTCTTACCTGTCTCTTTGCGACCCCTTGGACTGTAACCCTCCAGGCTCTTCTGTCTGTGGACTCCTCCAGGCAAGAACACTGGAATGGGTTGCCATTTCCTACTCCAAGTTCATTGTGCAGACGGGAGATTAAAGTGAGTTTCTACGGGCCACGGGTTAAAAACCCAGAATGGCTCAGGAAGTATTGAACCAACTGAGATTATATGCATGTGTTTCTGTTTCTCTCAGAGGAATATTCTGAATTCAACTTGACAAAGGGTTTCATGACCACCCCCTGCTCCCCGCCAAGCCAAGGCAAGAACCACCGAAGTGTGCCTTTATTTCAATATTTAATATACCTTGACTTTGACTGTGACCAAGGAAAGGAGAAAAAGGAGAAATGTCACTGTTTGGGGCACTGATGTGAACCACTCAGAAACTGGATACAGAGAGTAAAAGATCCCTCCACATGCCATCCAGTTGGTAAGAGTTTATGGTAATATTATTAGCCAGATAATAGTAATAGCTGATGTTCCTGAGAGCTTGTATTCTACGCTGTTCTAAACACTTGGTGTGTGTTAACTAAATACATCTTCAGCCCACTGAAGGGGTTATTATTATTATTATTACTATCGCCATTTTACAGATGAGGAAGCTGAAGGATAGAGCTGGAACTTGCATCTCAGTTATCTGCCTTGAGCCCACTCTCTTAACCATCCAGTGACACCACCTCCCAGAACCTCCAGTTAATCACTGTCACTGCAAAATCAAGCTGACTTGATCGACATCAAGATGATGATCAAGGTTTTTTTTTCTTTTTTTTTTCCATTTATTTTTGTTAGTTGGAGGCTAATTACTTTACAACATTGCAGTGGTTTTTGTCATACATTGAGATGAATTAGCCATGGATTTACATGTATTCCCCATCCCGGCCCCCCCTCCCACCTCCCATCTCCACCCGATCCCTCTGGGTCTTCCCAGTGCACCAGGCCCGAGCACTTGTCTCATGCAGATGATCAAGTTTAGAACCAGCAAAGATCACAGCGTGTTCTGTAATCACTCCAGCTTTAACATTAGCAAAAGCATCATCCTTAGTTCTGTGTTTAAACACCACTCCCCACCCAGAAGTGTATACATTCATGTTAGTAACAAAACAAGAGGAAAAGAAAGCTCACCCAAGATCACAGTGAGTGATGGAAATAAGGTTTTAACCCAGGTATGTCTGTCTTGTGAGCCTGTGCTCTTAGCCACCTGCCCAACATCTTACCTTCCTGTAATGAAAAGCTCTGGTTTAAGAGAAGTCAGTGAGGTCCCCAGAAGGTCCATGTAAGGCACAAGAGGTACACAGCAAGGCCCTGGTCACCTCTAGAACATTATACCAGAGAAAACCAAATAGCAACTACATGGGTTGGAAGGCAACCTTGATTAACCAGACAGAGGAGGAAATTCCCCATCCCTTGGGCTGAGTCTCCTAAGACAGAAGGGAAGTATCTTTCATCTTTCCTCCCACATTGCTGCCAACACTCAGCAAGAGTTCCAGTGGGCAAGACCACCTGTGTCTGCACCCAGCCATGCAGCTTGACCTGGGCTATTTTATGAGCGTGAGCGAAATCAATTTCCAAGCAATGCTTCCAATGCTGAGTGGAATTCATACAGTAATAAGTACCAGTGTTCTTACACACATGCACACACACACACTCACACAGACAAAATTTAAGAATCTTGAGGGAGTGAATGCTTGCAGAAAAGATACATGTTATCTCCCTGTCAAGGAGCTGTGGCATCCGACCCCTCATCTACACCTAGGTACAATCCATCTCTCTCTCCCTCTGTCTCCCTGCCCCCCGCCCCTCTCCCCTTGTCTCTCTCCAAACTCTTACCTCACTTCCTCCTTGGCTTCCTCCTGTTTTTATCAATACACAAGCTCTGATAACCCTAGCCACATACCCTTTTCTCGCTGGCGTCTCCCAGCTTTCCCTCGAAGCGGGACCTCAGCTTCAGCACCATGGCCACAGCGAGGCTCCCCTTCCCCTCAGGGCATGGACGGGGGCCTCTGACTGGCCCACTGGCCCTCTGACCCCATCAGTCCCTCTCACTCCCTCCTGCTCTCCCTCTCTCCCACTCTCTTCCTCTCTCCTACCCTCTCCTCTTCACCTGTACCTAATGCTGTTTGCGCACACCTGCGGTGATGTCAAAGTTTTGCCCAAGGAGACAAGTTGCTATGACAGATACAGGGACACAGCCTGGCTGGCCAAGAAAACACAGCTTGTGTGGGTCCCAGACACGAGCACCACCTGGAGATGTGCCATGTCTTGACTCTGCCGTCTGACTGATTTGGGCCCCGAGTCCCTGCAGAAGGGGTAAACACGGAGGACCGCACCGCTCTTTCCGGCCTCAGGACACACTCACTCCAAACGTGACATTTCCATCCCAGTTCAGAGAGGGGAAAACACTGAAGAATAAATGGGCTAAGGAGTGGGCACTCAGGGGATTTCCCTAGAGGTCCAGTGGTTAAGACTCCAAGCTTTCAATGCAGGGGACGAGGGTTCAATCTCTGGTTGGGGGATGAAGATCCCACATGCCTCACAGCGTGGCCAAAATGAATAAATAAAATTTTAAAAAGAAGTGGACTTGTCTCATGCACCCAACCTGGGCTGCTGATCTGTTTCACCCTAAATAATATACGTGTTTCGATGCTGTTCTCTTGAAACATCCCACCCTCACCTTCTCCCAGAGTCCACAAGTCTGTTCTATACATCGGAGAGGGAGGTGGGAGGGGGGACCGGGATGGGGAATACATGTAAATCCATGGCTAATTCATCTCAATGTATGACAAAAACTACTGCAATGATGTAAAGTAATTAGCCTCCAACTAATAAAAATAAATGAAAAAAAAAAAAAGAAGTGGACACTCAGGTTCTTCCTCACTGCCCTCACTTGCCACCCTCTCCTACTTGCAACTAAGAAAGGGGAGTGTGTGTTGTGTAAGCCCAAGTGTGTGTGTAACCAGCTCTGTGTACGTGTGTGCTGTTGGGGGGGGGGGCAGGGAGGATGTGGGGAAAAGGAGGTTTCTAGCAAATAGGATGGGAGGGAGGCCAGATCTGAGAGCAGAGAAAACAGCAGATGTTAACCACCTGGGGAGAGGTTCATTACCCTGTGAAAATCATCCTAAAAGAGCTAACATTGTTGAGCCATTGACATAGCTAGGCACTGCTAACTGCTTTATATGCATCATGCCATCTAATCAGGACAACAACTCTGTGAGGCAGGCACTATTCCCGTTATACCGACGAGAACTCGAAGGCCCAGAGACGTTGAGTAACTTGATCAGAGTCATACAGCTAGTTCGTGACAGACAGACGTAAGCAGGAGCATTAAAAAAGGCAAGAGCAATCAGGTGTGAAGGGAAGGAACTAGTCCTACGTTAGAGAAATGCAATTAATTTGGGTTTGGCAAGCTTGGAGGTTATCTTTTCCCCTGTCTTCCGATCTCAAGAAGGAATTTTTATAAAGACAATGCTGACGAGTTCTTCTCCGTGTGTTTGGGATACCAGAGAAAAGGAAAGTGATAGATCAAAGCATGACTGTTTGCAGTTGGAGAGACAATAGACCTTACTGTCAGGGTGTATTTTTTTAAGCCAGGACGTTAACACTGTGATGCAAACAGCAGCGGGCAAGGGAACTGGGAGACTTGAATTTGAATTTGGCTCCCCTGGTAACTTGCTGGGGCCTCTGGGTCTTACTCTCCACTCCACTCACCCCTCTAGCTGCCAAAAAAGGAGGGGCTCCCACCAGGCTACCCTTCCAGCTGCTGAGCTCATGCTCCCAAAAGGTGCCTCAGGACAAGGCCTCCTTCCTTTCAAAAGAAAAAATTAAAAAAAAAAAAAACACCACAGCCGCACTGGCCCCTTTTTCCCTGCCCAGGAAATTAACGGTCAGGGCATCCCCAGACACCAACGGGGAACCACATCTGACTCCAGTCCCCCAGGAAAATGCTTGCTGAGCCTGTCTGGAGTGCCAACCGCCCCCCCAGTCCCCTCCAAAGCCAGCCACACACCCACCCCACTTCAGGTGCTAATCTATCAGCCGGGTTTCCTGAGGAAACAGAGCTCATTCTTAAGCTCTGTTTTATGTCTTTTACCCAGAATTGATTTGAATAAATCAGTCTAATGCTGTCTCTACAATGGAACCAATTGTAAAAAAAAAAAAAAAAAAAAAAAGCTTTATTTGCTCAGCTTTAAAAGCAGGTTGGAGCTTTCTTCCTCCCATTCCAGGGCTGGTGGAAGAAAAGGAAGCACGCACATTAAATCTGACAAAGGAGGAGTCGTCCAAAGGTGAGGACCCAAGACTCTCCCAGGATTCCCAGGCAAGGGGGTCCCCTGCAGGATTCATACCTGGCAAAGGAGGCCAGAGATGACCAATTGTGGTTTATCTGCTCCTGATGCTAACACCTAGATACCTGTTGTGCTCAGCCAGAGGCTTGAGAAAGCAAGGCTTCCCTGAAAGCTCCTGTTTTCCTGGCTCTTTTGATTTCTCCTCTCTCAGAAAGAACACAGAAAAGTTCTGCCAATGTGCCAGGAGCTGCATCAAGTCTCAAAGGCACCTGCAATTCAGGGATCCCAGGGATGAGGGCTTTCTTTCTATTCTGCAAATGAACCCAAAGTCTTGTCTTCCTCAGGACCTTTGCATGCGCTGTCTGAAGTTCCCACTCTCTGCAAGTGTGGCTCCTTCTTTCCGTTCCTTCAGCGCTCTTCCCCAAGGCCACCTCATCCCAGGAGTCTTACCCAAACACCCTGGAGTAAATGTTATTCTCTTGTGGAACATCCTGTTCTTTTTCTCGTGTCACTTTATGGCACAGAAGCAAGACAATGCCTTGTTTAAGGATGAGAGTTTGGGAGCCAGGGAGCGGAGAATGAGCCCTCTCTTCTCCTCTTATTGGATGTTAACTTGGAGAAAGATACCTTCTCACTCTGAGCCTCATTTTCCTCACCTGTGAAATGGGAGTTATGAAAGCACCCACTTTAGAAATGTGCCTGGCAGGAGACAGCACTCCATCAATGTTTACTGTTGTGTTGTAACTGATTGATGCCTGTCTGCCCCACCCACCCACCCCGCACACCTGCCTATGTGCTCCAAGAGCACGGAGCTCGGTCATCCCGTTTCTGATTAGAGCCCCAGGGTCAAGTTCAGTGCCTGGCACATCCAGATACTGAAAAAATATTTGTCAAATGAACAGAAATTTTGTTTGTTTTATGTTTACTTCACACAGACTTGAGAGCAACAAAGCAGAAATGGCACTGTTTGTTTGTTTGTTTGTTTGTTTGTTTGCTTTACCATTTTACAGATGGAAAACGAACACTGAAAACCCCAATTTATCTAAGCCTGGGCAGTCAGGTGTCCAAGCAAGGCACGAGCCCACGTGGCCAACACTTTTCCCACCGGAAGTCAGGAAGCAGAAACCCGGTATTGCCCCCCTCCCTCTGGCACCTGAGGCTACCACACCTCGGCAATAAGGAAGTCATAGGTCAGTTCCAGGCCCACGGAATAGGCTTACAGGGCTGATGCAGACTTGCCCCTCCTGCCCTTCAAAGGGGATCTTGAAGAGCTGCAAAGATCAGGCCCAGGGCTCTGGCTGATGGTACAAGAGGGTGGCAGAGGCCTTGGTGTGGGGGCTGAGGACTTAGGGCTCAGAGGATTCTCGTGGTCAGATGAACACATGGAACAAGGAAGCACACTCACAAAGCAGATTGACCTTCAAATATCAAGCAGACAGAGGGACCACGTATACTTTTGTTCACTGCTACCTAGCCCACGGGCTCTTGGTAAAGGACTTCCCTTGATAATTACTAGTTGAATAACTGGGTGAATAAGTGGATGCTTGAATAAATGAATGAATGACAACAACAATAAAAGCCTTTGTTTGTCCTCCTTCCTCTCTCCTCCAGCTCTGGACTTGGAGAGGCTGAGTCTCATAATAGCTAAGACGGCGTCCTGTGACCCTGCGAGGGTTCAAACCCCAGCTCTACCATGTACTAACCGTGTGACCCTGAGCAAGTAACCTAGCCCCTCTGCGCCTCTGTTTCCCCATCTGAGGATACCCATATGAGGGTATTAATTGTGACTTCCTAGTGAGACTGTGAGATTTAGATGAATTCATATGTATAAAGCACTTGGAAGTGTCTGGCACTCAGCAAGCACTCAAAACAAGTATTAGCTGTTATTACCATACTGGCTTTTCTCTGTATGTTTATTATTTTCAGCCTTTATTTGATTTGCCTCTTGCTATAAGCTTTCTTGAGCCCTTTTGGGGAAGAAGCAGAACACAAATCAATTTAATAAATGAACTACTCAAATATAACATTTACAGGGTGGACTTAATCTAACAGATTTTCTCCTAATAAGACACACTTGCAAATTAAACTGTCTAATTTGGTAATATCTTTCAAAATGTTAAATGCTCATACCCTCTGCCCCAGAAATCTCACTTCCAGGGACTGATCTTGGAGATACATTCACATGAGTGAGCCAAGGTGGCATACAAGGAAATTCATTGCAGCATCATTTGAGAAAGCAAACAGCCAGAAACAGCCTACATGTCCATGCATGGAAGAGTGGCTAAATGAATTTATGGTCTAGCCTAAAGCAGGATGTATGCTGCTACTAAAAAATGGAGCAAAGTTTTATGCATTGACATGGAAAGATCTCCAAGATATATTGTTTATGAAAAAAAAATTTCAGAATGTTGGAGAGAGCTTGATTTCATTTGTGTCTCTAAGCACACACACATACACAGACACACAGACGTGCACAAACAGATGTGCATACACACACACACACACACACACCAGTCATTATGCACATTTTAAAGATGAAGAAACAGGGACTTCCCAGGTGGTTCAGTGGTGAAGACTCCTCGCCTCTAATGCAGGGAGCCCGAGTTCGATCCCTGGTCAGGGAACTGGATCCCATATGGTAATGACAGTTTAGTTGCTAAGTTGTGTCCAACTC